GCCTCGTGGAGCCGGACCTCACTGGGCTTTGATGATTTGGGGGGTGGCGCGAATGGGTGGAAGACAAGAAGGGGTTAAAGGGCAGCCACCTGGGCTTAGAGCACAGAAATGGTTACATTGCTGAAGGAGGTTCCTTCCTAAGCGACCCTGTGCCCCCAGGGGCTTCCCAGGTCTCCAAACCCACCCGAGACTCTCAGGGTCCCCCTCCGGGCCCTGGGGCCAGGGCAGGGCATCTTCCCACCCCACCCCAACCACAATAATAATTAACCCCGGTGAACCCCAGCAAATAAAGATCTGAATCACAGAAGGGAGGAGTCACCGCTGCGGCAGGGTGGGGGACTCTGGAGGTCCCAGGGAGGACAGACCTAGCACCGTCTAACACGCCATCCCCCCCCCCACACCATTCTGGCTTGAGTACGTCCACGGGTACGTGGTCCGCTGGGGCCTGGGAGGAGGAGGGCCCACCTGTCTCGGGTTTGGACTTTGATTTTAGAAAGAGAGGAAGGGAGGGAGCTCTGAGAGAGAAACATTGACCGGTTGCCTGCCATACGTGCTCTGATCGGGTATCAAACCCACAACCCAGATATGTGCCCTGCTCTGGAATCTAATCCCCAACTCTTTTTTAAAGACTTTGTTTATTTATTTTTAGAGAGAGGGGAAGGGAGGGAAAAAAGGACACAAACATCAATGTGTGGTTGCTTCTCATGCGCCCCCTGCTGGGGACCTGGCCCATAACCCAGGCATGTGCCCTGACTGGGAATCGAACCGATGACCCTTTGGTTTGCAGGCCCGCGCCCAATCCGCTGAGCTACACCAGCCGGGGGTAGATGGTGGGGCAGGGGCAGTGGGAAACAATTACCATGGGGATAAAGACAGACGTGAGAAAGGGCAACACCTGACCGGGGTCGGAAGTCGGTGAGCCGTTGCTCTGATCGAGCAGGACCATGGTCTGAGGTACGGCTTGTGCCTGGAGGCCCTCAGAAGCCAAGCTGAGCAACTTAGGCCTTAGGCTGCGGGCCCACGGTCTCCAAAGTGGGGGTATGCACAACAGTCTACGGGGGTCCAGAAGAAAATATCAAAACTCCCATTGATAGTTACCCCACTCCTTTAAATCTCTGTTTCTTAGTATATACGAGGACACTAAGGCTCAGAGAGGTCGGGTAACTCACCCAAGGCCACACAGCTAGTGAACCAGCTAGATTCCAAAGCGGTGCTCTTCACCAATGCTGAGTGTTATGCAGACAGGTGAGGGGTTAGGTGGGGGCAGAGGCAGGTCGAGGGGAGGAGGGTGGCTGCGAGGAGTAGACAGCTCTCAGACCTGGCTGTCCCTGCCTTAGCAGCGGGCAGCGGCGGAGGGGCCTGCCTAGGCCTGGCCCCCAGGACCTGCTCTGAGAAGCCACTCAGGGGGCCTGGATGGGTGCGGGCCTGCCTACCCGGAACCTTCCATCCCAGGCTTCATCCTCATAGCGCATCCTCCCCTTTGTGAGCAGGACCCTGGGCCCAGGGGAGAGCAGGCCCAGGGACTGGAAGGAGGTCGGGAGGGGCTGGCAAAGAGGTAGGGGGAAGGGTTCAGTAAACCCACGCCCAGGTGCCACCCCCCACGGCCCAGGGAACCCCGATGCCAGCCCCGCTCTGCTTTCCTGCACTTCACGGCGCTGGGTGGATAGGCTCCATCTATCTGCTGATCTATACCTCTAAGAAAAAAACTATTACTGATTCAAAAAATAAAGCAACTGTTCTGATCAAAATGTAACACACAGAAAATGCACATCATCACAGTGTAGCAGGATAAACTGTTACACACTGAACAGATTCCAGAGTAACTAGCACCCAGATCAAGAAACAAAACATTTGCCAACCCCCAGAAAGCCCCAGGAACCCCTCCCGGTGATGACCCCGAATCCGACGGCCATCCTGAGCCTATTGCTGGGCCTCACCTGAGTGGAACCAGCCTGTGCTCTGCGTGACGTTAGCCAGCCTGAGGTCTGGGCTGCACAGACCTCCATGGCAGGCACATGCTGCATTTTATGTATCTATTCTTCTGTGGGTGGGGGGGGCACACTTGAGCTGTCCCCGTGTGTCCCCATTCTGAGCTCTGCTGCTATGAACGTGTTTGTATGTTCCTTTGCGTTCCTGTGGAATAAACACCTACCTGTGCACGTGTCCAGCTTTAACACAGCTTGTTCCGTCTTCAAAGAGAGTCTGCCTGGCCATTCTGGTTTTGCTCTGACCAGCTCTCCCGAGGTACGACGAACTACGATAAAACGCACCCCTTTGGAATGTACAGCTCAGGGACGTTGGACAAACGTGTCCACCACCACAGGCGAGACGCAGAACATTTCCATTCTCCCAGAAAGTTTCCTCGTGAGCCTTTGCCACTAAGGTCCACCCCCCAGCCCTCCCCAGGCAACTGTGGGGCTGACTCCTATCACTGTATGTTAGTTAGTTCCGCCCGGTCTCGAACTCCCGGCAAATGGAATCACGCGGTAAGAACTGTGGGCGCCTGGCCTCTCTCCCTCAGCACGCGGCCTGGGGGACGGCGGTCCGTCCGCACGGCTGCCAGCCGCTCCGTTCACGGCACGTGTTGTGTGAGCACACGCTCGGTTGTGCGACCGCTGTCCTGAGGTTGGACGCCGTGTAGGCGGTTTCCGGGTTGGCCGCGATGGACGACCTGGCTGTGGTCATTCAGGTGCACGCCCCTCCCCAGACGCGTCCTCCTTCATCCCTGCTGCGCGGATGGATGCCTGCGTGCGAGCTGGGTTGCTGGGCGATCGGGTGAGACCACCGGGGACCTTACAAGGAGTGGCCTCCCGACTGTCTCCCGAAGGGGCTGTGCCACCGTGCACGTGGGTCAGCCACAAAGGAGAGGACGGCTGCCCGCCCTTAGTGTCGCCTGGCTGTTGGATTCGGGCCCTTCTCTCGGGGCTGAAGGACTCGCTCGCGGGGGTTTCCGTTTGCATTTCTCTAGAGACTAAGGATTTCGAGCATCTTCCCGTGTGCTCCTTGGCCAGGTGTGCACTGGGTCCGATGGACTGTCTATTCCAGCCTTCCTGACTGCGTTACCCCCACCTTCCCTCCCTCCCTCCCCCTGCCAGCGACAGCCTCGGCGCCCCGTTGTTCCAGGGCGCCCGGTCTCCAGCCTCCCGCACTCCAGTGGCTGCTCCGCTGGGCCACACCACGCCAGCCGCTCCTGTGCTCCACGGCCCACCGCGGCTCCCAGGCCTGCAGGGCCAGCCCCAGCTTCTCGGTCCACCATCCATGCCGCCTCCAGCCACGGGCCCCAGCCTTCCCCTCCTTCCTTCCCTGAGAACCCCCCCACCTACCCCTGCCCCTCGCCTGGAGGACCCAGAATACCTTGTTCCCCTCCCTCTCCCCACCCCGCAACCTGTTTCCGTTTGTGCTAAAAGAAGCCGGCCTCTCTGCAGAAAGGCTGCCAGCGAGCCCCACCCCACGGGGACTCCTGGGTCCTCCCAGCCCAGCATCTGCCCCCTTAGGTGTCCAGGAAGGAGCCTCGGCCGGGAGGGCAGCTTCTTGGCACTAGAAGTTTCCCCAGTGGATGTGATAAAAGCTGCGGGAGTCCACCCTTACATGACATGAGAGTAACATTTAATGTGACTTTTATTTTTTATTTTTTCCCCAAAGATTTTATTTATTTATTTTTAGAGAGGGAAGGGAGGGAGAAAGAGAGAGAGAGAGAAACATCAATGTGTGGTTGCTGGGGGCCGTGGCCTACAACCCAGGCATGTGCCCTGACTGGGAATGGAACCTGCGATGCTTTGGTTCACAGCCCGCGCTCAATCCACTGAGCTATGCCGGCCAGGGCTAATTTGACTTTTAAAATTGTACAGACTCTTTCCCTGAAAATTCTAGGGCATCCAAAAGGCTCAAAGGTGGGCTAGGGAGAGGGGAGGGCACCGCTCCCTTGTCTGCCTTGAAAATCTCCGATAGAAACAGCAGACCACTGGGCCTGGGAGAGACGCCCCGGGTTCAAGCTCTGGTCCTGTCCTGCAAGAGCCGTGGGGTGCGTGCTGGGCAATTAGTTCATCTCTCTTGGGCCCCCCTCCACTGAAGGGGGAGAAATCGCACGACCTCATCAGTGTGTGAAAGTCAGCGGTGACTTCAGGGAGCCAGACTGTGTGTGCGTGTGTGGTGAGCACTGGTCTGTTAGACTGTAAGCCCCTTCGAACACCGGCCTGGTAAAAACATCTTGCCCTTTTATAAAGAACTGGAAGGACATCTCCTAAGAATTCATGAAGGAAACCACCAAGGAAGGCAGAGGGAATCAAAGTCACTAGGGTCCCTGACAGCGGCCTCCCCACCCCCACCCCTTCCTCCTCCTGGTCTCATCCCCCCCCCACCCGGCCCAAAGGTCACCCCGCTGAAAATGCTGCTGTCCTCACCAGCGCTGGACCCCATGCTAAAAGGGACTTCAGTGTAAGACTAGGGAGAAGGTAAAACGAAACAGAAAAAGGGAGGAAGGGAGTTTGCAGAGCTGCAGTGGCTTGTGCCCCTCAGTGGTGGATGGGGATCTGGGGTGCTGGGAAGGGGCTGGGACCCAAGATTTGGGGGTGCTGATTGCCCTGGTGCTGGCCTTGGTCCTGGGTCCAGGCCTGGGCACCCTGGACGGAGGGACTTGCAGAGGGGTCCCGTGGGGAATGGTGACGTCCGGATGTGTTTTCTCTACAGATGACCCTGTGAGCCCAGGGTCGCTGGACTGGGGAGCCTCCCCTCTGTGGCGCACCCCTCAGCCAGGGCTCCTGAGGAAAATGCTCAGGCTATGGGGTCAAAACGCTGCCACAAACCCAGCAGGGTGAGGGCACAGGGAGCTGTTGGAGGTTAGGCGGTCAGGGGCCCTGAGGGGTATCCGAGTGCGTCCTCGGCCACCTTGTCGCCTCTGCTCTGGGCTGGTCCTCGCTCCAGGGTCCAGAGGCCCTCGGTGCCCAGCGCGAACCTTCGCACCGGGGGCGGGTGCCCGGCGCCTGACTCCGCCCTGGCCCGCCCCCGCGCTTCTCCGCGCCTCTCCGGGTGTGCGGGTGCCGCACACACTCCGGGGCGTCCGGAGTGGTCCCTGGCCGGGCCCCATGGAAACGGCGCGCGGAGCACCGCAAGGGAGCGCAGGGGCCGAGGCGCTGCTGGGCGAGCTGCAGGCGCGGGTCCAGGACGTGGTGAGGGCGAGCTCGTGGTGGGAGCGCCACGGCGTGGATTGCGCCATCCTCGCCCTCAGCCTCCTCTCCTTGCCGCCTGGTGAGGGACACGGGGACCGGGAGACGGGAGGCTGGACCGGGCAGGGGGTGCGGGGGAGGGGACGAAGAGGGCTGCAGGGGAGGGTGGAGCTGGGGAGATGCTGTCGGCCCGGGACCCCAGCATGCAGAGTCACACCCCAAACTGAAAGTCTGGTTGGAGTGTCCTGCCCTGTGTCGCCAGAGGACGTGGGTGCTGCAGGGAGAGGAGGGCTGGCACGAAGGGCAGAGGAGGGCGAAGCTGAGAAGGGTCTCAGAGAGGCTGGGAGGGAGGAGGTGGCCTGCGGCAGGGGAAGGGTGTTCCGTGGGGCCACCAGGGATGGGGGGAGGAGGGGGGCGACTGTTTTCCTGGACCTCTCCTGGCCTGGACCCCCCCACAATGCCCAGAGGTCACTGCCTTGGCTAGGGCCCAGAACCAAGACTCCTGGAACCCCCTCGAGGAGCGAAGGGGCTCTGTTTTGTCCTGTAGAGCGAGCCCCCCCACCCCCACCCCAGGCCATAGTGGGACCCGCCCACCGCTGCTTGTGGCAGCCCCCAGAGCTGGACCCCCTCTGGTCTGGGCTTCCGGGGGCCGGGAGGGGGTGTCTGAGCCCAGGTCTCCAGAAGCCAGAGAGAGACCCTGCCCTGCTCGCCCTGCAGGGTTCCTGTGCCTGAGCTCCGACCATGTCCTGGTCTTCGCCCTGGGCATCGCCATCCTGGGCGTGTGCCACTACACGCTCACTGTCAAGGGCAGCCACCTGGCCACGCACGGCGCCCTCACCGAGTCCAAAAGCTGGAGCAAGATCTGGGCACACTTCTTCGTGGAGGTGAGCCTGGGCAGGGGCGGGGGTGGGGGCAGGGGTGGCTGCTGGTGCCGGGTGGGCCACCTCATGGCTCCGGGCCAGCATGCAGGTGTGTGCAGCACGCACGCCAGGATGCGTGCGTCTGTTGGGGTGTGCATCCAAGCGTGCAGCATGCACTGTAGTGCGTGTGTCTGGGTGTGCCGCTGAGGGTGGTGGCCCCTGGGGGCAGAGAGCCGCACGAGGGGTGCGTGAGCATGCACCCATGGCAGTGGACTCCGCCCGGGCGCCCCCGTTTCTCCTGGGGGCGCCCACTCACCTCTGCAGTGTCGGCCCAGGAGGTGACAGAACTTCCTCCTCCGACCAGGACCCCCGTGCCTCCTGGTTTTGGAATCAGGGTTTGAAATGTAAGCCACAGGCAGAAGGGGGCGGGGAGCAGGTGGCGGGTGTCGCAGGGCCCCAGCCCTGGAGCGTGCGCCCCGCTGGTGCCTGGCGGTGGCCGAGCTATCCTGAGGCGGCTTCTCGTTGCGCCCCCCGCCCCACAAGTCTGCTTCAGGAAGGACCCTCCCCTCTCCTGACCCTGCGCCCCACTCCTCCCACCCCGCCCCATCGGTCTCAGCCTTGGAGCCCACAAGCAAGGCCAGGGAGGCAGAGGTGTCTGGCCGGGTTGCCCCTCTCTCTGGTCCCTCCCTGGTCCCTCTGCGGAGCTGGTTCCCTCCCCTCTCTCCTCCAGGTGGATCCTCACGGGGCCAGCCAGGCAGGGGGAGGGGCAGGGCGCAGCCTTTGGAGCTGAGCTCCTGGCTCCTGGCTCCTGTGCTGGAGTCCCAGCCCCGCGTGTTGACTCAGCACGTTGTTGTGCGAGTGTGAGCGTCGTGAGCTAACAAGCAGGAATAACCGCACCACCTCCCCCCCGCGAAGCCGGCCCCAGGATTCAGTGTGGGGCTGGGGCCTGGCTCTTCCAGGCTCCATGAGTGTTAGCTTTGTTTTCCTTTTCCCTCCCCAGGGAACATGCAGTCAGCAGCAAGGAAAGGGTTAGCAGCAGCCTCTGGTGTTTGTCAGTATTGTTTGTTTCTAACTGAAAGGTGGATACAGTTGCGCAAAGCCGACAGAACTGTGTGCGTGCGTGAGTGTGCGTGTTTAGGGTCCGTGGGCGGTGGCGCTGGCCCCCCAACCTGCTCTCGGCGTTGCACAGAGGACATGCTCTTGCTGCCCGGGACCCCCTTCTTGTTGGGTCCTGCACTCTCCCTCAGCCTTGACCTTCAGGAGACCCTGTCACAGTAGAATAGTCCAGTCCTCCAGTCCACAGCCGTAGGTGTCAGCCGAGTCTCCCGGGCTTTCCTGGGGCACCCAGCGTGCGCCGGGCCTGTGTCAGGGTCTGCTGGCCGCAGCTGGGGTGGGCAAAGACCTCCCCTCTCTGACCCACTGGCTCTGGGGGGAGGAGCAAGCAGGATGGAGGGGCCGGTGACACTCCAGGTTGTTGTGTCTCTGCAGAAGTGTCCCCAGTCATGCACGCCTCCCCACGCCCGCACGGACCTGCCTCTGAAGACCCACTTCCGGTCTTCCTGAGACCGTTCCAGTCTTCCTACTGGCGTAGCTCTGACCCTCCTTCCAGCCCACAGATAACCCTGACCTCCCCCTGCAAGAGCACCTGCCCCTCCCTGTCCGGAGTGATGCCACAGGGGCTGCTATATTCTTGGGGCCTGCCAGTGAAGGGCTGCAGTAAGGTGGGGGGCAGGGCCGCCCTGGTTTCGGTACTGAAGTTTGGGAAGGGTTGGCTCCTGAAATCAGAGGGCTTTAGAGACGGCCCCCCCCCCCCGCCCCAACGCTGCAGGCCACTCACAGCCAGGGTGCTGTTGGGGGTCAGAGGGAACAGGCTGCTCCACTGGGTCAGCTCCAAGCCCCCCTCCACAGCTGGCTTTGTGCCCCTGGGGGGCAAGTCACAGCTGGGCCACAGGGCGCACAGGCCAGCTCTGCCCCCAGGAGGGCGTGTCACCAGGGGACACCCTCACCTTCGTTCAAGTCCTGTGTGGTGGTGGAAACAGAGCCGAGAGGCCCGGCCGGCCCATCGTTCTGGAATGTTCTCTTCCCACGAGTTCAGCTGGGCCATCACCCTCAGGGCTGTCTCTCTGACCTGCTCTCTGCTTTCCTGCACCTGAGCCCTGAGAGGTGTTAAGACTGCACAGGCTCAGCCGTGACTTTGCTTTTTATTTTAAAAAGTTCGATTATGGGGCAAACTCAGATCTGTACCCCATAACATGTTTTTATGAAAAAAAAATATTTATTTTGAAAATAATTACAGATCCACAGGGTGTTGCAAAAACAGGATAAGCAGTCCAGTGCACCCTCTACCTGGCACAGGTGTGCACCTGTGCGTCGTTCCACGCCATTTCCCAGACTACTATGCAGGCTCCCACACCCCTGGGAAGCAGCCCTTTGCCCCCCCACCCCCAGCTTTCGTGTGGCTTCCTCAAGGCCGAGCCCGTGGGTCCGTGAGCCTGGCTCCTGGTGGCGGCGCCCCTGGTGGGGAGTGAGGCCAGGCTGACGCCCCTGGAGGGCTGCTTAGAGAGAATGAGGCGGGGTTGCTTCCAGGGGGAGGGGCCGCCCAGCAGGTTGGGCGGGGATGTTTGGGGGCTGAGAAGGTGTCTGTGGAGCTTGAGTGGGCGGTGGCTGAGCAGCGCTCTCGCCGTCATGGAGCTTCTGCTCCCCCCAGCCCTCCACCGGGTGCTGAGGACACAGCCTGAGTAAGGCGCATGTCCAGTTCCCCAGGGGCTCGGAGTCAAGTGGGGGATACAGACACGCCAATGGCATCAAAGTCATAAAAATCCTGATTACTATACCACCTGACACTTTGTGGCTGCTTCCTGTGTACTTGACACACATTAGCTCATTTAATAGCCACACCTCCTTTGCGAGGTCAAAGCCATGATTAGCTAATCATGGCTTTGTGCACGAGGAGACACTGGTCGGTCTGGGAGGTTAAGTCGCTCGCTCAAGGCCGCTCAGCTGGTCCGTGGCGGGGCTGGGCGCGGGGCGGGGAGCACCTGCGGGTGCGTCCACCAGCAGGCGCGGAGGCTGTGAGCACTGAGGTGGGGGGCTCGGGGACCCCGGCACGTCGGCAGACCTTTTTGGCTATCACAGCTGGTGTGTGTGCGTGCACGTTACTGGCATCCAGTGGGTGGAGACCACGGATGCTGCTAACCGTCCTACGCTGCACGGGGACGGGCTCTGGGAATGCAGAATGACCCGGCCCCAAATGTCAAGAGTGCCCAGGCTGAGAAGCCCGGGGCAGGAGGGACAGAGTCCGGAGGGGGCGCTGCCGGGACAGGGCTGGCCGGGCCCAGCGCAGGACGGCGGTTTCACGGGGAGCAGACAGACGCACAGTCAGCGGCACAGACCGGGAAACAGCATAATGCCTGAGGGGGCCGCAGAATCTAACCAGATGCCGTCATCTGCGTGCAGTCTCCTCTTCTCGCCTGCACCCACCCGAGAACATCTCGACAGGAGTGAGAATTCCAGCGTTATAGAAAGAGCCTCCAACCTGCTCGTGTTCATATAAAAGGGCAAATCGTATGCGGGCTGAGTGTGTCCTGCGTCACACATCACACGCGACGCACCGCGCAGGGAGCCCGTCTCCCGCGCACCCTCACGTCTGGGCACGTGGCTGGGAGCCTGGCCGAGAGCCTGGCCCCCGAGGGTCTGGTTCAGGCTCCGTGGTCCCTGACGCGGCTGCCCCGAGTGCGATCAGCTTCCGCTCTGGGAGGCGCTGCAGAGCTTGCGCCAGGAGGAAACCCAGCCTGGTCACGGGGCCGACGGCTGACGTCTCCTCCTTCCTCCTCCTCCCTCCTCCCCTTCGGCAGCCACCGCTGTGTCCATGAGTCTGTGTCTGTGCTGTTTATTCGTCGTGGTTTTTTAGGTTCCACGTGTCAGTGAGATCACACAGTGCTTGTCCCTCCGACTTATTTCACTACGCATAGCGCCCCCTCGGTCCCTCCATGTTGGTGCAGATGCGAGAGTTCATTCTTTTTTGTGGCTGAGTCACATTCCATTGCAGTGAACAGAGGGACGCGTATACTGTTTTCAAGTTAGTGTTGTTGCTGTCTGCGGATGAATACCCAGCAGTCCCACTGGCGGGATCCTACGGCAGCCCTATTTTTAATGTTTGAGGTGCCCCCCTACTGTTTTCCGTGCTGGCTGCACCGACCTGCAGTCCCACCAGCAGTGCCCGCGGGTTCCACTTTCTCCACGGCCTCGCCGACACTTACTCATTGATTTATCGACGATCCAGCTGGCGTTGCTGGAGGAAAGAAGCAATGCACAGAGGGTTGGCCCTGGAGCAGGAGGACGCGGAAGGAGCGGTTACAAACAGCAGCCCTTTCCAGTTACTGGGATAGACCGTGAGGTTCAAGACACACCCTTGCCTGCGCCCAGGCAGGCTGATCTCAGGCCATCCGGACAGACCCCGGCTGCGGCCCCCTCGTGCCCACCGCCAAAGGCTGCTACCACTAACTCAGCCTACCCAGGAGCCCCAGCGGGCGTGTGCTCTCAGCAGGCAGGTCCTCGGAGACCAGCAGGCCAGGAAGAGTCGTTGCTTCAGCCAACACGTTGCCTGCCCACCTTCTGCAGCCTTCCCCAGGTTCTGTCCATGTACAAGGTTACAGAAACAGCAAATCCCACCCCCAGGGGTTACGTCACCCCAGAGCAAAGCGGCTGGTCCTGTGGGATCTCCGCAGCCACTCCACAGGTGCTGAATAAGCATGTACCTTCCTGCCCTCTGCCTTCTCGGAGGGCCCTGTGCCCTGTCTGTTGTGAAACTGCTGTTGTGACATTATGAACCGTGCTCCTCAGCGTCCTTTAGATAGAGCTTCTGGTGACCTTTCATCCTCATTTCGTTCCAAAGGAGGAAGTCTCTGGGCACAGAGGGGGAGGGAGGTGGCCTTTGTTATCTTTTGTCTTCTCCTGGACCCGCCTCCGCTGCAGGGGCCTTATGGCTTTTACCTTGGATGAAAGCCGGGTTCAAATTCCGCCCCTGTTACCTAGCTGGCTGAGTGACCTGGGGTGGCCACAGGGCCTCTCTGTATCTCGGTTTCTGCCTCTGTCAACTGTGGATGACTCCACCACTGACCCCTGGGCTTGGAAGGTCAACAAGTCACGTATGTGAAGGGCAGAACGCTGAGTACTGGCCTCTGCTCTCTGTGAAGGGCTCCCGGTGATTGGCATCGGAAAGCCCTTCTCTTCCTGTTCTCCCGGAAACGGGCAGGCCGCGTCTCCAATACAATTAGCAAATCTCCTGGCCTGGGTAAAAATATTGCAAGAGGCCGATGCCTGCATGCTCATTTGCATGTATCTGCATAAGGAACGCCTTAGCCCCTCTTTGCAACCAGATGACTGGCCCCAGAGTCAGAGAGCTGCTGCTCGGGACCAGCTATGGAGAACCCCGAGAATGCCATGGAAGAGCCGCCCCTAGGGAGACGCTGGCTCTCGGCACCCTCACCCCAGGGGCCACCCTCCTGGACAGTTTGGGAGGTGGCCTGTCTTCACCTCCGGACCACTGACACACCCCGCCCTTCCAGCTGCAGGCTCAGGATGCAGAGCAATGCTACGAAGGTATAGGTGTTTCTCTCGGAAACACAAAAGGATCGTAGCCTGGTGCCAGGGACTCGACCTGCAGTGTGTCCAGTCCTCTCGGGCCTGCAGGCTTTTCCGGATGGTCAGGGGCAGAATGGCAATGGGGGTGGAGCTGGCCGCTGGCTCCCTAGTGCTTTGCAGCCCCGTGCCAAGTGGACGTGGCCGCTTTGACCGGCTGCCACTCTGTGGCCACCGACACCCGAGAGTTGATGGTCAGGACTAATGAGCTGGGGGTGTGAGTCAGGCAGTAAGGCCCTGGACTGGAAGTGTGCTTGAGGCTGCCAAAGGTCCCGCTTTGCCTGACTGGGCTGGCGTGGACCCCGGTGCCCTTTCTGGCCCCTCCGGTAGGTGTGCACGGCCTTCCCCGCAGAGGACGCCAGGCACGGGCACGTCAAGATGCACCACGGCTACACCAACGTGCTGGGCCTGGGGGACTCGAGCACCTGGAAGGTGCCTCGCCTCAACCGCTACGTCTACATGTTCCTCGCCCCTCTCTCCATTCCCGTCCTGACCCCTCTGGTGGCTGTCGGTGAGTGCGCTGGGGCTGGGGCGGGCCGGGGCCGGGCCGGGTCTCTGCACAGGGCTGCTCGCCCTTCTCTTCCTCCCCTCCTCCCCCTGCCCCGGAGGCTGCCTGCGGAGGAAGCAAGGAGCCCCGAGGGAAGACAGAAACTTTCTGAGACGGCCAGGCAGGGTGGAAAGAGCCTCAGACCCAGGGCCAAGTCTGGGTAGTGACCACAGGTGGCTTACTTGGCCTCTCTGAGCCTCAGGCTCTCGCCTGCTCCTCGGGTGCGATGGGAAAGCAGTGCGAGGTCATGGATGGAAAAATACTTTGTAAACGCCTCGTGCTGCATAGCACGTTAGAATTTTTAATGCCACAGGAGCAAATCGTACGGTGGAAGGAGCAGGAGCCGGACCTGGGTTCAAGCCCCACGCCGCCACTTCCTACCAGTGTGACGTTGGTCAAGTTGCTTAATGCTCCATTGGCTCACCCACAACGTGGGTGAATCCACTTTCCAGGGCTGCGTGTGCATGAACACACTAGACCCCCCTAGCTAGCACCGCTGAGCCACCGGGGAACCAGCGTACGGATCTGAACCTCGCCCGCCCCCCACTGTATTTCTTGCCCCTTCCGGCAGAGCGGCTGAGGAAGGTGAAGCCCAGGGCTGCTCTGTGGACGCTGGGCCTGATCTCCCTGGGCCTTTACTCTCATTACTGGCTGCTCCTGAACGTGTCCGGCTTCCGGAGCCCCGGCTCAGCCCTGGTCTGCATGCTGAGCACCAGGTCGCTGCTGGCCCACCCTTACCTCCACATCAACATCTTCCAGGTGAGGCGCTGGGGGCCGGGGGCGCGTTCTCCACCTGAGCAGGCACCCCCCACCCTCCTCCCACCCAGCCCTCCACTTTCTCTCCGTGGGTCCTTGCAGAGAGTTTGGGTCTCAGGGGAGGAATTTGCTGCTTTTCAACACTGGCTGCCACTCACATGGGGACTGAAGGTTTGTGAAGAACCTTCTGTGCACAGGGCACTTGCTTAAGCCCTGTGGGGACACTGTGACAACCCCCCGGGAAGGGGCATGGGGACCATCACAGAGCCCCAGCACCGGCCAGGAGGCGGGCAGACAGAGGAGCTGGAAGGGCAGGGCTCAGCGCACGGTACAAAGGCCCCCGTTCCCCGGGCCGGGGGCCTGCGGCCCCTTCCCAGCACTCACCTCAGCCGCCTGGGTGACAGAACCCCAGGGGTGGCCCTCGGCCCGAGGTGCTAGAATGGAAGCTCCGTCCACTTCACATCCCTCAGACTTAGGGCGGTGCCTGGCAGGGGAGGCATTTATGCAAACCTGTTGGACGAAAAAAATATTTGCAGCTACGTGAGCTTGACCTTGAAGGACAAGCAGGATTCTGATTGGCGACAGCAGCAGAACAGGGCCTCTCCAGGATGAAGCCCAGACAGTGACATGAGCGTGAACAGTGGGTGCTGAGAGCCCCTGGGGCCCGAGGGGCCCCCGGGCCAAGCCCCTCACTGCACAGGTGGGGAGGGAGGCCCAGAGACGGACGAGACGTGCTTGGGGCCCAGCCCCCTCACGCCTCTACCAGGTCCACGGGAGTGGGGGCACGAGGACCCACGGACCCCTGAGTGCTCCGTGAAGACACCCGGGGCAGGGTGGGAGGCGTGGGACCGGCTCGGGCCGTGACCCACGCGTCTGTCACAGCACATCGGGCTGCCCATGTTCTCCCGGGACAAGAAGCCGCGGCGGATCCACATGATGAGCCTGGGGGTGCTCAACCTGCCGCGGCTGCCCGTGCTGGACTGGGCCTTCGGCCACTCCATCGTCAGCTGCCACGTGGAGCACCACCTCTTCCCCAAGCTCTCCGACCACATGTGCCTGAAGGTAGGCGGGGGTCGAGCCGGAGGGGCTGGGACGAGGAGACTGCTGGAGAGCAGAGGGTGGGCACCCTGCAGTATTTGCCTGAACACCGAGTCCCCCAGCTGGCAGGAGAGATGACCCAGGGTACGAGCAGGGTACGAGCAGAGTGTGGGGTTCCGATCGGAGACACGTGGACTTCTTTTTTTTTTTTAAGATTTTATTTATTTATTATTTTTAGAGAGCGAAGGGAGGGGGAGGGAGAGAGAGAGACATCAATGTGCAGTTGCTGGGGGCCATAGCCTGCAACCCAGGCATGTGCCCTGACTGGGAATTGAACCTGCGATGCCTGGTTCACAGCCGCGCTCAATCCACTGAGCTACGCCAGCCAGGGCACACGTGGGCTTCTTATCAGCGGTGCGACTCAGTGAGGTCACTGGCCGTCTGTGAGCCTCAACTTCCCGGTCTGTTCTGGCAGAGGAGTCAGCAGTGCTCATGTTGACAGGCTTTGCGCAGGAAGTGGAGAAATGGATCTGAAATGCTGGGCACACAGTAGGTGCTGCACAGTAGGTGCTGGCGAGAGGGAGCTGAGGCAAGGTGGACTATCATGCAGCTGGGAGCCCGGCTGGGGGCCGGTGTATGTGGCTTTTCCCTCACCCGCCGGGATGGGGAGAAGCGGGAATCCTTCCAGCCGCCCAGCCCCCGCAGAGCATCCTGGAGCAAGGCAGATGGGAGCTGGGGCTGGGAAGAGGAACGTCCCACCTGCGGATGGGCCTGCCTGCCATCCCCTCTCAGCCGCCCCCTCCCTTTCCCTCTGGCAGGTGAAGCCCGTGGTATCCCAGTTCCTCCGGGAGAAGCAGCTGCCTTACAACGAGGACACCTACCTCTCTCGCTTCTGGCTGTTTCTCAGTCACTACGAGGAGCTCATGGTGCAGACCCCGCCCATCACGGAGCTGGTGGGGCTGCAGTGAGGGGCGGGCTGGCACAACAGCCACGCTGCCCCCCTCCAGGGCCCAGTGCTTCTGCTTCTGCTTGCCCTTCCCCCGTGGGTGTGGCTGGGCTGCTGGGGGCAGACCTGGAGCACAGAGGCCCTGCGGGGGGCAGGGAGGCAGGGAGCTCATGCTGGGGGCTCCGCACGGGAGGGTCACCTGCCCTGCTTGCTTTTCTGGGCTTTGAGGGCTGTCTGGAGGAAAGGAAGAGAGGTGGCTGGGGACTCTGGGCATGCTGGCCGACTCTGTCTCAGGAGTGAACGGCTGGATTCCTCCCCCACTCTGCCTGAGCCTTGGTAGGGGTGAGGGAGGGTGATGGGGTGAGGAGGGCTGTGCAGGGGGCAGGCCAGGAGGGGGCATTGAGAGAGCAGGGCCGGCCCTCAGCTAGGGCCTCCCTGGCGCCAGGCGAGTTGCACCCTTGGCTACTGCTTCTTTGTGTGCCCTCGGAGCCTCTGTCCCTTAAGCAGCCCTCGCCCCAGGGACCACAGGGGCGACTCTCCTAGTTCCCCAGCCGGAGAAGCCTGTGCCAGACCCCGGCTCAGGAGCGCCCAAGAGCCACGGCATCGGCAAGGTCAAAGTGCATGTGTTCTCTTTTACAAAGAGAACATTCTGGGTTCTGGAAGGAAGGGGAGAAAGAGTATGAGTAGCTTTGAGCATGGTCTTGGCTAGCTCCAGAGAGTCTGCTTTGCTCCGTGTCATTTAGCGGTGGACCTGGGAGAACTACCAGGTGAGAGAGAGAAAAATCACTGGGAGGGAAACTGAGGCTGGAGTGGGTGAGGGGCGCAGGGCCCGGGGGACAGCTGGCCTTAGAGAGGAAAGGGGGAGGAGAAGGAGCAGGCCAAGAGCTGGAGGCCAGGGGCCGGGCTGGGCTGTGACAGCCTGTGAGGGGGTGGGGATGGGAGGGAGCTGCTGACGCCAGCCCGCCAGCCCGAGGAAGAGGTCAGGGTGCTGGGGACACCACCGCGAGTCAGCCTATGCGGGCAGACTTGAGAGGGGGCTGGGGCCGCCCTGCCGAGGGTGCTGGAAGAGGGGCTGCAAGGAAGGGCCCAGCTGGAGGCTGATGGGGGGACAGACACGGAGGCCAGAGCAGAGGTGTGTCACCTCGGTCGGCGCTGTGACAGCTTGGCCAGATAATGCTTTGTTGACGGACGTGTAGCAGCATCCCTAGCTTCTCCCCGCTGAGCGCCAGGCGTCCGAGTGGTGGCAGTGGGAGTGTCTGAAGGCACTGACGAGTGTGCCCCAGGGGGCAAGGTCATCCCTGGTGGACAACACGCACAGTCGCCTTCTGAGCACACAGGTGCCTTCTTTCCAGTGAAGTCCTTGCAGGGGTGAGGGCCTGCCGACCCTGATGAGGAGAGGCCAGCAAATGGGACAGGGCAGAGGGGCAGATGGCGGGTGGAAGGCCTTCTCTAAGCCTGGTCCTGTTGGAGAGCCCTTCTCCGGCGTGGCCTTAGGTGGCTCTGGTGGGCGCTGCCATGTGCCCCTCCGGACCCTTTTCCCCACTCCTCTCCTCCCTGCCGTCCTTGGCCCAAGGCCACAGCCCCTGTCACACCCTCTCCTGCAGCTACAGCCTGCATGGTCCCTTAATGCTGCTGTCATCTCTGTACAAAGTCCCTTCCTTAAACTCTCCGAGGTCAGCACTTTTAAGGGAGCCACCCGTGCCCCCTGGGAGGCTGACTGACGGAGCACAGTTTGAATCCCAGCAGCCCCTCGGACCCAGGCAGGCTGGGCAGCCTCCCCAGCCTCCTGTGCCTTCCCGCTGCTCTTCCAAAGTGCATCCGGAGCTCAGACATGGCCTTCAGACCTGTGAGCGGGACTAATCAAATGGCCAGCTCTCCACATGAAAAATGCAGCGTCAGAAAAGGCCCCATGGCATCGTCCCGCCTCGTGATTAAAACCATCCTAATACAAAAATCAGTGAGTCACTGTTATCGATCCGGGCCTGAGTGCGAGCGGGCAGCCGCTGGAGGCCCTGGTCCCAGACTTGGCTGTGCCACAGGCAGCTGGGGCGAGTCGCTTGGATTACTCGGAGACTGGATTCTCTGTCACTCCGAGAACGTGGACTGGGACGCACGGGGCTTGCGAGGCGAGGGGAGGGGACAGGAGGGTATGAAGCCCTCTGAGGGCTCTGCAGCGACCTAAGATCTACTGCGCACGGGTGTACGAGAGGCGGTAACATTGACGATGATAGCTAACATGTATTCAAAACTTAGAGCACATTTTTTTACCTATTCTATTTAATTTTTAATCTTTACAAGAACCCGGTGCTATTTTTTCTTTGTGTTACATGCTGTGAAGATAAGCCTTGGAGGGGTTACATTTCTCCCTCCGTAAGTAGCGGAAGAAGGATTTGAGCCCGGGGTGTCCGACTCTGGAATCCCTGCTCTTCACCACCGACAGTAGTGCCTCTGGGAGGGGAGCCCTGTAGGGCCTTCTGGCATATCTGACCCTGAGTCTCCTTCCCTTCCTCCCGTGTGAGAGGAAAATGAATGATTTGATCATCAAGACAAATTGTGGACATCCACTATGCGCCCCGTGCTGGGCAAAGGTCTGGGGATGTAAGCGTGGACGAGAGTGGGCCCCAGCCTCCGGCGCGTGCAGTCTCAGGTGGGAGTTAATCAGCTCTTTCTGGAAAAGGGCCAGATAGTAAATATTCTGGGCTTTGTGGACCACGTGGTCTTTGTCACAAATACTCAAAGCATTTTGTGCCATCCAAGTGCAAAACAGCCATAGAGATATGTAAAGGAATGAGCGTGACTGTGTTCTAATAAAATGTTTATGAATGTGTGTAGTTTTCACATGTCACAAAATATTATTCTTTACATTTAAAACAACCATTTGCTGTTGAGACTCGGAAATCTGATTTAAAAAAAAAAAAAAATAAAAAAAATAAAACAACCATTTGCCCTGGCTGGCGTAGCTCAGTGGACTGAGCACAGTCTGCGAACCAAAGCATCGCAGGTTCGATTCCCAGTCAGGGCACATGCCTGAGTTGCAGGCCATGGCCCCCAACAACCGCACATTGATGTTTCTCTCTCTCCCTTCCTCCCTCCCTTCCCTCTCTAAAAATAAATAAATAAAATCTTTAAAAGAAAAACAACAAAAAAACCCCCCACAACCATTTAAGAATGTCAAAACCATTAACGTGTGGGTTGTACAAAACCAGCCAATGGGTAGGATGTGGCCTGCCGTAGTTTGCCTGTTACTGGTCTGGCGGGAGAGGCACACACGCAATGACGTGTTAGAAATGAGAACAGTAGGGGCCCGAGGCGTTCCCGGGGGTTGGCCATGTGTCATGGCCCATGTCTTGATCTGGGTGGTGGTTACACGATTCCATGCTTGTGATGACTCATCAGACAGTACACTTCTGATTGGCACACTTTTCTGTTTGTTACAGTTCGATTAAAAAGATAATGAAACACGAGAAGGCAGTATAGTAAGTAATAATACGGTAGAGTGTTAAGAGCACCAGAGGGGTCTCCAAACCAGCTTGGGAGAGGAGGGGTCAGGGAAGTCTCCAAGGAAGCATTTGACAAGGCGGCCCTTGGGAGCACAGGAAGCTGAAGCTGGCCTTAGGCTTACTGGGTCAGATGTGACCACAGATCCTGTCATTTAAAAATATGCTTTGCCCATCGTGGGTTTTTTTGCTTTAATTTTGCACTTGGGGCCAGTGCCTCCCTGACCTCACACTTTTCCAGCCCTTGGACAGAGTCAAGATCTGGCTCAGTCCTTAGCCCCGGGCAGATTGCTCGTCTCATTTCCTCACCTACTGAAAAGGGAAGGGGTGAGGCAGGACGAGATCTCTGGACACAAAAGACCTTCTACAGAAAGTAACCTCGGAGGGGGAGCTGATCAGAAATTCCTAAATGGGCAGGTCTTGGTGGGTCGCCAGGCCCCAGGCCTATCACTTTACTGAAAGTTTTTAAGCAAGTCCTGTCCATTGTTCTTGTGCATCGAGGTTAACACATTTTTGAAATGCCGAAATACCTCGCCAAGCGGTAATCACCCACAAGAGGGCACGTAATCCAGTTAGCCACTCTGCCGTCCAGTCCCTGCCTTGCTTTCTCCTGCCTTCATGGAGTTGTCCTTATGTCCCCTCTGCAATTTCAAACGCACAAAAGAAACTGCAAAACTTATTCTCAGGAGTATCTGAAATCTTGCTTCTCCGCAACTGTCATAAGTTTTGGCTCCAAAAAATCTTTATAAAAACTGGTTTGGACATTTCTTACGGGGAGCATCTTGCTGGGGTCACACCGGTACAGGGTCCTGGTAGGTGAAAACGGCCGCCGAGTTCCAAGAGGAGCCCCTTTTCTCGGAGTTCCGAGGTTGCTCGAACCCAGCGGTGGTAGGTTGGTAGCCCAGGTAGAATACCTATCAAAAGGGAATGGCGCTTACGTCATCAGCCAGCGACGAGAGGCTAAGTAACTCCTCTCTAATTGGTTGCTTTCTGCAAACGGGAGTGAAACTGCGTTGAGGGTTTGCTCTCCTTTAACTCTAGACTTCCGATAACTGGAGGGCGGGTAAAGACTGGGGACAAATTCATCAAGTCACAGCGGGACCGGAAGTCCGGGGGCGGGCCTTCAGCAGGAGGGGGCGGGTCCAAGGGCGGGCCTCCCTTTTGGGGGCGGGATCCTTTCGAGCACGGGGAGTGGAGCAGCCACACCGTGCGGTCCCGGAGCGCGAGAGGCGGGACTTGGGGCGGGCCCGAGGCTGTGGGCGGGGTCAGGGAGGGGCCGGGTCGAAGCCCACGCCGGGCGCGGAGAGCAGGGCAATCCTCGGTAGCAGATCCGCTGGCCGGCCCCTCGGATCCGTCCCAGCCATGGCCCCGCGGTGCTGGCGCTGGTGGCACTGGTGGTCGGCGTGGCCTCGGACCCGGCCGCCTCCCGCCGGGAGCACCCCGGGTAGGAGCCGGGCACCCCTGGGGCTGGATGGGAGAGCGGGAAGGAAGGCCTGAGAGCTCTAAGTGGAGCGGCTGGAGCCGAGCTGGGGCAGAGCTCGAGAAGGGCGAGAAAGGGGCCGGGGCAAGATTGGAGGGTGCACTCACGCTGAGAGATGGGGTGGTGTACGGGGGCAGACGGGGGCCCTAGCTGTGCGGGGATAAGGTGCCCTAGGGCGAGACAAGGGTCAACAAAGGTGAGAGGGGAGACCGGGATGTCCACAGGTGGGAGAAGAGGTGAAGGAGGGCGATATGGAGGTCCGTGGGGCCCGAGGGAAGCCTGCGGTGAAACGGGCCTGCAGGAACGAGGCGGGTCTGTTAGGACAATGCAAGCTTCTGTGGAGAGAGGGTCAGAGAGGCAGTACCGGAGAGCACTGTGGGAAGATCCACGGCGGGGCGGGGGAGGCTGGGGTGATACGGCTCCGTTGGAAGGATGAGGTATTCTGTTGGGTGCGTAGGGAACTCCCTAAGGAGAATGTGCTGGGCAGGGCGACTTCAGGTGAGGGTGGTGGGGGTTGCTGAGGAGACCATCTTTGGCGACATGGTTCATGCGTGGAATGTGGGGTTCTGAGTGAAGTCACAGCCTTTGAGTTTCGGTTGCAATAAGGAACCCTGCAAACGCCAAAGCTTTGACAAAAAAGAGGAACGCGAAGCCCGGGAAGCTCCCTCTAGTGTTCCACACTGACGTGGCTTTGAAATTGGGGTGGGAGCGTTGTTCTGACCTCCCTCGCCCCCTGCCCTCCATCCCCAGGCTCCTGCCAGCGGTTCTCCACACAGGAGCAGACCCCCCAGATCTGCGTGGTGGGCAGCGGCCCAGCCGGCTTCTACACTGCCCAACACCTGCTAAAGGTAAGCCATTCATTCCCTCCTGGCTCCCTCACCCACCATTCCCTCGCCTTTCTGCTCCAGCCCTAAGGGCAAGCCCCACCCACTGGGGGTTCCCAGCCTATCTGGACTGGACACTCTCTACACGCTTTGTCCCCTCACCTGGGGATTATGCACATCCGCAGGATGACTTCGTCCCGCCCCTCATCTTCCCTGCTTTCTTCTCCGTCTCCACTCCGTCCCCAGCACCCTGCATCTCCAGGCTCTAGCCAGCCCCTCTTCTCGGGGTTTCCTGGAACTTTATCCACCTCCCTGTGCTTTCCTCTCTGATGGCCCCATTCTCCTCCTGCCATGCTGTTCTTTCAGCCTGCTCTCCACCGCCGAAGGCCAGCGTCTCAAGGCTTACGGTGCTGGCCTTGGTGAGCGGGGCCCGCCCCACGATTACTCATTACTTTTGAGACTTGGCCAGGTCTTGGACCTTGGTGGGAGGGAGGGAGAACCATGGTGGGGGGAGGAGAGAAGGGGGACCTAGGCTGACTAAGACGTGGAACAGTGGCCTTGCTCTGGAGGGACTGGGAGTGCCTGTGCAGGGACAGGAGAAAGGGCGGATGGATTCGTTAGACACACACACACTTGCAGATACTTACAAGGTATTGTGGCCCAGTTGTCCCAGGACATGGGCCTCAGTGTCAGAACTGGGGGTGTCCTGGGGAGACTGAGAGGAGGTGGTCGCCCTGCTGCACAGCGACCTGAGCGCGCCTCCCACACAACACATGGGAAAGAGCTGATCACGACGGTGTGACCGGCATACACCGGGTCGGGGGGTCAGTGAGGAAGAGTTTCCTGGGGAAGGTGCGCTCGATCCGCACTGAAGGAGGCTGAGGGCCTGCCACAGGCGGGGAGTCATCCCAGGCAGGTTGCCATGTGGTCGCACAGCCCCGGGCTCTGACCAGAGATATGGTGGGGGCTGGGGAGGCCCTGGAGGGCTTTGTGTAGGGGGCACTGTGCTAGCTGAACCGGAATTAGCAGGGTGGTGGGGGGAGAGATGGGGCCTTCCAGGCAGGATGGTCAGTGCCTCCACTGGGAGCAGAGGCTCTGGGTGGGGGATCGACTGGACAGGTTCGAGGAGCCCCCCAGGGTGTAGGCTTCAGGG